TGGGGCATGTGTTATTTTTTAGGGGGGGTGGGGGTGTTTAGTGTCGGTAGGAATGAATTGATTTACGTTGGGTTTTTTTTAGAGAGAAAGATGGAGGGAACAGGGATGAGTATCTGTTTTCTGGGTGGTTGGTGGGTCTTCTGGTATGGTTTGCTTCTTCTTTCCTATCAAATGTCTATCGTCTTTATCTCCCCCTCCTTCTTTTTCGTGTTTGTTACTTGTAACAAATCTAATCTTCTGCGCTTATACGACTTTTTTGTGTTGCAAGTGCCGTAATACTCTTACTAAAACTAAAACTATCTGTTTTACTGTTTGTTGAAATAGATTATATGTTGTTAGCCTTGTGTGCTATTTATCGACTGTTCTGACGCATCATTCCTGTCCGTCCAATGCTCGCTTCTCCCTCACTAGCAAGGCCTGACACCCCTGAAAAAGTCGGTCGTGATGAGCAAAGCTGAGATCGCCAGACTGCTGGTTCTATACGGAGCTGAGCCCAGTGTGAGAGATCCAGTAAGTCCATTACCATCTTTTTATCGTTCACGTGATACATGTATTTACTAATGTCCTTTTTTGTGTGTGTATGCCTGAGAGCACCTAACCTTTGTAACATCTACTGCCATTGTTAACGGCCAAGACAAATCTCCCCCCGCCCCCCCCTCACTGACTATAGTGTCTTTAGGCCATTCCCAAAAGGGGGACATTTCTCGTTCAAGCACAGTAGAATTGTAAATGGGCTGATTCATCGTGTCACGCTCATAACTGTGCCTGATCTACATCAGGGAACAGCTGCTTTTTCTTTCCTAATCCTTACTATTGTCATTTTTCGTCTACTTCTTTTATTTTGTATTTTTGTCACACTCTTATGACACGCTATTTCCGGGGTGCCTTGATAGTCGAAGCAGACCTTGTGCTGTTGAAGCTAGAGAGGTGAGCAGAGAAAATCTGATTCCCTGTAAAGACTTCTCTGTTGACACCCACCCCTTGGCGCTCATATGACCTTACGCAGTTGCGAGCGCCGCAAAACCCTCTGTTAAAAAACAACAACAACAAAAACCAAGACAAATTTTTTTTCCTACGAGATGAATAAAGATTGTCATGGTTTTTATTAACACAATTTATTAAGATCATGTGGTGGGCAAGCTTCCGACCCTGGCCATCAGGGCCAATCCGGGCTGAAAGGGATACATCCCAGCAGAAAGACCGAGATACTCAATCAAAACTTTCTCCCTGCTCGGGAATCGAACTCGGGTCTCCTGCGTGCGAAAGTGAAGCTTCTAACAACTATATTAGAGACATCAGCTGGCCCAGGTTAGAGTTGAAGTCAATTCTCGGTATCTCAGTGCCGAAACTGCAGGTGCGACAAAACTTATAAGAGAACTAAACTACCAATAACGTTATTAGCGAAGTTCTCAAAATTGCGAGTAAAAAGGCCATTGCAACTAACTAATTATAAAGGATATAGTTTCCAGACAAATGGAAAAAACTTTTCTGCTCCCCTTTATGTGTGCCTTTCAAGACTTCCGTCAGCACCGTGTTGAAAAAAGAACTAAATTATTATTTCTCAACTTCACGAGACAGGTGCTATAATGTCCTCCATTCCATTTCGTCATAAACTGGTCAAACACAGACACAGGCACACACAGCCACACACACACACACAATTACCATTCCCATACACCCACACACACTCACACACACACACACACACACACACACACACACACACACACACACACACACACACACACACACACACACACACATAAAGCATTCCATTAGGGACTTTCCCCCCCCCCCCGTAAATAAAAAGAGAGAAGAAAGAATTAAATGAATTTTTTGAAAAACTCATGTCTGTTTGTATGAATGTTTGTTTGTTTGTTTGTTTGTTTGTTTGTTTGTTTGTTTGTTTGTTTGGTTGGTTGGTTGGTTGGTTGGTTGGTTGGTTGGTTGGTTGGTTTATGGGGTTATTTTTTCTGTCTCCTAGATCGGTAAGACGGCTCTGCACACGGCGGCCACACAGGGGTCACGTGATCTGATGGCGCCGCTCCTGGTGTCCCCAGACTCCAGTGTGAACGTTCAGGACTCGGTGAGCTGTTGTTTTATAGTGGGTCTTATATCAGGTGTCCATTGCTGACGGGATCGGGTCGGGTCGGTTCAATCGCCTGACTCGTCGCTTGAAAACAAACACTTTTGTTTTTGAGGGGACAAGTCAGGCGATCGGCTTGATCCACGATAGCCGCTTTGCGCCCTCAATCTGGCTTGCAAACCGACTCGACCTGGCCCAGTTTTGCCAGTGGACACCCATTACGCCAATGCTCATCGACCCGACACTCATTCCACGACAGTGGAGTTTTATTTTAAATGGCAGTAGGCCTATATCCCATTCCGTAAGATGTTCAAAAATGTTTTAAAAGTAAAACAACCCCCCCCCCTCCCCACAACTTTGCCTCTCAACAGCTATTCACTATGAATCTCTTCAAAATACCTTCCCCGCCTCATTTATTAAGATATCATCGTTACCAGATTAAGGCAGAAATGTGCACCATGTTTTAAAACCGCCAGCTGGAATTGATAAAGTAACTCAATTTAGCCCAAAACTGGATATACTGTTTAAAAAACCCCAAAATCTAGTACAGTGAATCAAACTGTAACAAGCAACCAGAGAAACCAGTGATTACATAAATACTGAATGCATACGTCTATTCATCCCCTCCCCCCCCCCACCCCCAACCTCCTTTCGTTTTCTTCGTCGCCCACGCACTCACTCAGTTTCCTCCTTCCTCCATAGCCCCGATCTTAGGGCGGGTAAGGTCGAGCACCTGGTCTTCTAGGATGATAAAAAATCTCAAAGGTCCTGTGTGCATATTATAGGGTTGACAATCGTAGAAAGCGGGCGGGGTAGGCCGCCACCTGTGCAAAATTCAATATTCAAGATTCCAAATCTCCCAACCAAAAGAATAATATCCTGATCACACATGTAAAACAGTTTATATTTTTTTGGATTCCAAAAATGAAAACGATTTCTCTCCGAATGAGCATTATCAAGAGTCTAAAAATAGGAGGGAAGCAATACTTGGGCAATCTATTTCCTCTATATGTACCGCCCAGACAAAGCTGTAGCATGTATGCAGCTTAAGATCACCAATCAAGACTCAGAGTGAAAGGCCGTTGTGTGTATCCATTTAAAAATTAAGGGGGGGGGGGGGGGCTACACCCCCAAAATCAAAATTCGGCTCAAAATAATTGAATTTGAGTTGTAGGCATTTTTTAGCTTCCTCAGCCTCTCCTACAACTATTTCATGGCATAAGAACCCCCAAAACCGTATTTTTTCCCATACCGGGCATGTTTGTAACCACCATTTCCTCAAAAAGTCAGTATTTTATTTTTCTTTATCGGCCGTTTTCTCAAAATGCGACTTTTCTCTATACTTTTTTGAATAACTCCACCATTTTTCATCCAATCTTCATGAAATTTTCACAGAATGAAGAAAAGAGGTAATACTAAAAAGCTTTTGTTGAAATTTTGATATATGGAATAGTTTTTAGTTGGTGGTGTCTGGAGTCTGGATTTTCACGGATTTTTCGCAAACTTGAATGCTACCTCAGGAAAAAATTCATTAAAATTTTCTAATTTTATTAAGAAAAAAAACAACAGAAATTTTTTTATATCTAATGTTTGTGAACACGCATGCAAAAAAAACAATCAATTTTCATGAGCAATAAGTGCGGTAATCATTACGTAAGACAGGTCAATAAAATCCAATATGGCGGCGTATCCATGGAAACGAAACTTTTTTTCCTCAAATTTGATTGCGGATTTTAAGACTCTTTACTATGCTTGTTATGTGTGTGAAATTTGGTAAAATTCGGTCCAGTAATAAGCGAGATAGCCTCCAGGTGTAAACCCCCCCCCCTTAAAACGCCTTTTTTATGAATAACTTAATTCCCATGAATTAGACTTTAACGTTTTCACTGCCATACCAAAGAGTTGAGTGATGGAGCGTGTCCAAGAGAAAAAAACTTTTCTGCGTTTCATAAATCTCAGTTTACAAGCATTTAAATTCATTGTAAAGTTTTTTAAACTTAGTTTTTAGATGTTTGGTAACGTCGTTGTCCCTTCTCCACTGACATCCCAATAACCATCGACTCAAAAGATCCCACATCGTAAGCGACAGTGAGCTCATCTCCCTGAAACGACCTCTGTGTTTGGGAAACATTGCCCTGTCCTTCACACTCTCAAACTATTTTTGTGTTTTGATTTAGTCAAGAAAAAGTAGTTACCTTCCTAGTGGCTAAAAAACAACATTCTAAATGTGCAGAAACGAGGCCAATTATTAAAAAGCGGACCAGATGCATACATATTATTGTTTAGATTGTATTCTATCAACTAATGCCTGGAGTTATTTTGCAAAAGTTGTCGATCGGAATGAAGCAACTGTGATAAAGCATGGCGAATGCAAATGAACAAAACCGATAACATTGATCGCATTAGTTTGTTTTAAATCTTATAATAATTAATATACCACTTATGTTCCTGCACTTACAAACTCCATTGTGTTCTTTGAGGGCACAGCAGTGGTAGTACTGCAGCCGGTGAAGTTTTAACTGAGGCGTCGGTACTGCCAACTGTGGGCAATTGGGGGACTTATTGGGGGTTGAGGGGTCGGGGATAGTGGTCGGACATAGGGAAAGGGGTCGGGAAATAGGAAGGAGAGGGGAGGGAAGCCAGGGTGGGTTTGGGAATGCTGAATGTTGAGTGAAGGAATTAGAGGGGTGAAGGCTAAGGAAAGGGGCAGGGAAGGTTGAGGACGGGAGGGTTGAGGGTGTTGGAGTTTGTGAAATAAGGTGGGGAATGTCAGGGTGACACCCCTTCCCCCCTCCCCCAGCACACATTGTGCTTTTACGGCCACTTATATGATAGAAAAAATACCAAGTTCAACCAGGCTGTGAAGCTTCAGAAACTGAGATAAACGCCACTATTTTGTCTTTTCATGTGATATCTTGTTCGATGTTGTTTCATTGCAAAGAAAGACATTATTTTTCCCTTGACAAACGGCCCTTTTCTTCCTTACTGATTACAGCATCAAAAATTAGCAAACTTACAGCTTAAGTCCCATCCTCTGGTATTCACCTATCATTATTCTAGTCTCCCTCATTTAGAAAATAACTTTCTAGCGATTCATTTTTTTTCGGTTCTGGGGAGGGGGTGGAGATATCAAAAGTTAGTTTGAGTTTAACTCTACTGCACTGGAACACAAGAGACTGGGCAACTCAAATTGCGAATTTATTCAAAAACATTCGCCAAATACGAAATGTGTAAAA